CTCTCTCTCTCTCTCTCTCTCTCTCTCTCTCTCTCTCTCTCTCTCTCTCTCTCTCTCTCTCTCTCTCTCTCTCTCTCTCTCTCTCTCACGTTGTGGAATTTGTGGGCCGGATCTATCTGGTTCACAGGGTGCGCAAAAGTTTTCATATGTAATGTTCACGTTCATTTTTGGGCAGCCTTGTGGCCGGATAGATCCGGTCCGCAAATTCCACGACGTGAGAGAGAGAGAGAGAGGGAGAGAGATGGAGAGCGAAATTATATAATCTCTCTCACGTTGTGGAATTTGTGGGCCGGATACCTCTCTCTCTCTATCTCTTTCTCTCTATCTCTCTATTTCTCTATCTCTCTTTCTCTTCTTTTGTGGAATTTGTCGGCCGGATATATCCGGTCCACAGGCTGTTCACCGGATAGATCCGGTTCAGATTCCACGACGTAAGAGAGAGAGAGAGAGAGAGGGAGAGAGACGGAGAGACAAAGTATTATAAGCATCAATACGGGCAGCCTGGTGACCGGATAGATCTGGTCCATAAATTCCACGACGTGAGAGAGAGAGGGAGGGAGAGAGACAGAGAGCGAAATTATTATAATCTCTCTCACGTTGTGGAATTTGTGGGTCGGATCTATCCGGTCCACAGGCTGCCAAGAAGTTTTCATATGCAATGATTAGGTTCATAATCATAATTTGAACATTGCATGTGAAAATTTCCGGACAGCTTGTTCACCGGATAGATCCGGTCCAGATTCCACGACGTAAGAGAGAGAGAGAGAGAGAGGGAGAGAGACGGAGAGACAAAGTATTATAAGCATCAATATTTCAAGGTAAAACATGTGCCTTGCAATATTGATGCTTATAATAATTTCTCTGCAAGTTGTTATTGTGTTTTTGTTGTCAGCCGGATGTATCCGATCAAAAGTTTGGGTCCCACAATCGTCTTCACAACTTTGACCCTCTCTGCTCCTCTTCAAGAGGATCCATGCGAACTTTTACATCGATCCTCCCGCTTTGAAGTTGTCGGATGGTACACCACCCTCACTGACTGACCCGCCAGCACCCGCGCCGAAAACAGTGTAGGGTAACAGAAACGTCGTGGGCACAGGGTTGGTGTACGATCAACCCGCTTTGAAGTTGTCGGACGGTACACCACCCCCGCTGACAGGCCTGCCAACACCCTTGTCGAGAACGACGCAGGGTAACAGAAACGTCGCAGGCGCAGGTTTGGTGTACGATCAAATTATAGTCGAACGGTACACGACCCCCCCTGACTGACCCGCCAGCACCCGCGCCGAGAACAGTGCAGGGTAATAGAAACGTCGTGGGCGAAGGGTTGGTGTGCGATCAAATTATAGAAGTGATGAAGCAGAAAGGAGCCACATTGTTAACATGACAGGTGCAGGCCCTCAGGAGCCACATTGTTACTAGGTGATTTTGCGGGGCATTCAAAGGGCAGAGAGGGCCGACCTCATCTCTCTCTCTCTCTCTCTCTCTCTCTCTCTCTCTCTCTCGCGCGCGCGCGCGCGCGCGCAAAATCACCTAGTAACAATGCGGCTCCTAAGGGCCCGCACCTGTTATATTTTGCTGTTGCCGGTAACTTGTCCATAGGATAGATTCGGACCACATCGATAAGACTTGAAGGCCCCGCAACATTTTTTGGGGTTATGAAACTTCTGCCCCACATTGAACCCTCGCAACATTATTTGGGATAACCGCCCACATTGAAGCCTCGCAACATTATTTGGGGTAACCGTTATGAAACTTATGCCCCATATCGAAAAGAGCATGGTCTCCCCTGCATTTCACTGCTTATTAAGAGTGTACTGGGAGGTGTACCTTACATTTGTATGTCGGATACGTCCTTGACATAGGTATTGACGGTGCCCCACATCGAAAACAGCATGGTCTTCCCTGCATTTCGCTGCTTATCAAGGGTGTACTGGGAGGTGTACCTTATATTTGTATGTCGGATACATCCTTGACATAGGTATTGACGGTGCATTTCACTGCTTATTAAGGGTGTAT